ATGTTCCATTATTATTATTATTGCTATTATTATTAATAATGACTTGTTAGACATGTAAGTCTTCATTATATGACGTCGTTTTCTGTATGGAATCGTCTACTGAAACCGTAAATTTGAAAAACCTTAAAAGCTGATGACAAAATTATAAAGTCATCGATGATCACTTGTCTGTTCACTTGACCTTAGCAATAGAAATTATCTTGTTGTACTAGTAAACTGATCTTACTACATTTCTCTACTGCACCTATTAACCAAATCATATGAATGTGAAATGAATTATTGATGGCTTCATGACTCCTCTTTAAAATGGAAACAAGAAATTCAAACAAAATTTAAATCAAATTGTGGGTGGCCCTGAAAAGGGCCTTTACTCGGTCTCTCACAGGTCCTTAGGTCCTAATCAATGACTCTACTATGAGTCCGTGACAGCGCCGCAAATGGGACAGTTGATACTTCTGATGGGTCGTAGGCACAGAACGAATGAAATAAATCTCATAAGATACATTATTATTACATTTCGTATGTTCCATTATTATTATTATTGCTATTATTATTAATAATGACTTGTTAGACATGTAAGTCTTCATTATATGACGTCGTTTTCTGTATGGAATCGTCTACTGAAACCGTAAATTTGAAAAACCTTAAAAGCTGATGACAAAATTATAAAGTCATCGATGATCACTTGTCTGTTCACTTGACCTTAGCAATAGAAATTATCTTGTTGTACTAGTAAACTGATCTTACTACATTTCTCTACTGCACCTATTAACCAAATCATATGAATGTGAAATGAATTATTGATGGCTTCATGACTCCTCTTTAAAATGGAAACAAGAAATTCAAACAAAATTTAAATCAAATTGTGGGTGGCCCTGAAAAGGGCCTTTACTCGGTCTCTCACAGGTCCTTAGGTCCTAATCAATGACTCTACTATGAGTCCGTGACAGCGCCGCAAATGGGACAGTTGATACTTCTGATGGGTCGTAGGCACAGAACGAATGAAACATAGCGTTGCATGGACAAAAAATCCAAGCACTTCCTTCGGCTATTTCACTGGGTGGCTGACGTAGATGGCAAATATCACACAGTCGGTCATTGTGCGCACGTTCGTCTTCTTCATTGTCTCGGTCCGTAAACTCTTCTGAGTTCATAGATATTACTTCAATCTCGTTATCATTTAAGGTAGCATACGAATCGACGTTCTGTTGACGGTTGGTGCCTGTGGTATTTCGGACGATGGGCATTGTGATGGTAGTAGGTAATCCATCGTAAAGCAACTGATGAGCATAGTTAAGGACAGCGGTACGCTGTTCAGCGGACATACGCCGACATAAGTCGTGAATCGATGTTAGGACGTTTGTCTGCCAGACTTATACCTGTAACTCATTGTCAATCGTTACTCTGGTTACGTAGCTGTTGGAATGCAGCCATCTGTCACCAATGCTTTCTCTGTGAACTTCGACATTAGCGTGCGAACAGTATGCCAAGATGTGACGACATACGACTCTGTGTTCTACATAAAAGATACAGGAACAACTAATAGGATTTCCGGAGACTGTGTAAGTTCCTGTAGTATCAACGGCCGTGAGGAACTCCCCCGACAATACGAAGTCAGTAACAGGAACACGCAAGTGCCGCTTCGGCAGTTGACATGGAGCAGGTGTAAGTGTTTCCTGAAGACGATGTAGTTGTGGCTCGCGACCCAGCACAGCTTTGCTACGGTATTCAGTGTAGTACTTTTGAACTCTAGCTTCTATCCAATATCCAGTGCGAAGCAAAACATTAAATATCGATCTGAACACAGGTGTTTTTTTGTTCAGCTTTTGCAACTTTAAAATTCGATGGGTCGTCTCAACGAAATTTGTATTGCTTTGATCTAGAAGCATTGCAGATGGTCTAAAAGCGTTCGACCACTTGTGCTTTTTGGACAATAACTGATCTCTCAAATATTGTTAGAAATTTCCGTCTGCTGCTTCGATAAATGACACATACCGTTGGAAGCTACAAAACATTGTAAAGTATATTTTGATTTACCTTTCCACATTTCTTGTTACCATAAGACGGTAGAATATTTGAAGATCAGTTCGTAGCCTCTACGAATACGATGAATGGGTTAATTCTAAAGAAAGGAAAGTTTACCCTCTTGATGACATTTCGAAGCAGGTGCACGCGGCACAAAAGGTGGTGTGAATTGGGATACACCTGCGTTATGGCAGCAGCTATAGCAGGTGAATCATCGGCAACAATACCGATAACCTCTCTATTGTTACTCATTTGGCGGAAGAACGAGAGGAAACTGGACAGCAAAGTTGATGTTTCGCGACTTATAAATGCAATACAAACAGGTATTGCCATGAAATTCATATCCAGAGCCACTACGTGATACAGAAACATATTTTCATTATTGGTTTTGTATGTTCCATCAAAACCAACAACATCTAAAAACCTGTTGCACAGATTAATCTGGTCTGCTGTAGCGAAGAAGTACAACAGACTATGATCTGCATCCAGTTGATAATCACAACGGCCACCAAGTGACGTTATGTGATTTTTCAATTTACCGTAGTCAACTACAGTTAATAGTATAAATATGCACATTGCTTACCAGGAAGGTTGGCCTGTGAGAACACTTTGTAACGCATATTGAAAACATCTTGAGCAGTAAGACGTTTCCCATAGGATTGGTACGCGTAGTGTATCACATTGAATGCTGATGTTCCAGATATCAACAGTGGCTTCACTGTTTCCAATTCCGCCGCCGTTAGTCGGCGCATCCATGTGTGACAGTCGTACCTCAGGGAATTGCACTCGTGATTGTGATGCACATTCCCACGAACAACAGTTCAATAACCTTCAAGAAACTTACAAAAGACGAAGGCCGGACATTGTGTGTCCATTGAAGTCTTAGATGAACAATATAATAACACTAATCAAATTACCTCCTTCGTCTAATCGGCTGCGAAGAACCGCTTGGTGTTTTATAGCTCTTTCTCCAACATACAAATTTAATATATGGCTTCCGATCTCCATGGAAATGAGAATCTTTCACCGCATAATGGCAGTACGTTGTTATTTCATAAGTTCTAATGGCGCTCTTTAACGCTACCAGATACAATGTATTCAAAAATACATTTTCCGTTTCTGTGACTACGTGAGGAACAACAGAGCCTCTAATCTGCACGTTACTGACGTCCATAATGTGAAGAAAATTAGCTATATCGATAAGTACAGAGCTTTTATACGAATTTCAAGAATTACATAACCAATTATAAAGCATTTACAACTAGGAATTTCATTGGACGAAACAGATTGAAAAAAATTGGAAAATGGGATGAAAATTTTTTGATTAAGGGGGACAAAAAAAATCGACGTAATCCTAATGTTATTCCTTAAACACAAATCTTTGTATTTTATATATAAGAACTCTCGTCTAAATTAGAACGAATAGTTTCACAGTATTTGAGCGCCGAGTTGAAGTAAGACATTAAATAGGAATAATATATTTGTAAAGCTTGGACCAGATTGCCAGGCGAAACGTTGGATTTAATTTAGAAAATTCATTCGCTGAGATTTTACAAATATATTATTCCTATTTAATGTCTTTGTATTTTATTATTATTGGTTAAATATCGTTATTAATCCCCCCTATGCATGATTCATTCACATCGCATTGGTCCATCCTTATTACGTCTCACTAATTTTTCACACATTTAGTCTTCCACTTGATCGAATTGTAATTGCACTATCATATCTCTCTCACCCTATCTGACCCGTATTTATTCTGATCACAGATCTTGAAATTTTCACTTACCATATATACAGATTCAAGTTAACATTCTATGGGTCATATCAACATTAGCAATTTTATTCTATTTGATTTGACATTCCTAAATTTACATGTATTAAACAATGTACTTTGCCTTCAACCTGGCTATTTCTTTTCGGATTATTAATTTGGATATATAATTGTAGAACCTGAAGAGAATTTATCGAAAAGAATATTCTTCGTTCAAATATTAGTCTTTCACATAATACTTATACTCTTACTAATTCTACCAATATGGGATTTGAATCGACTTCATCTCTGTGCTAATGTGGTATGTCAACTTGAACTGATGTACGTGCGTACGAAGTTCTACGTTGTAACTGACTGACTGTAGTGTATTTCAGCTCATTATATATATACATTGATCTGGCTCTTCTATCACAAACGCAACAACAAATGCAGGAGAAAACGACCAGTGTAGCAGCAGTAGGTCTCAATATAAACAAAGGGAAAAGCAAGACTCTCCGATACAATACAATATGCACCAATCAAATTACACTTGACGGAGAAGCTTTGGAGGATGTGGAAACCTTCACATATCTGGGCAGCATCATTGATGAACACGGTGGATCAGATGCAGATGTGAGGGCGAGGATCGGCAAAGCAAGAGCAGCATACCTACAGCTGAAAAACATCTGGAGCTCAAAACAATTGTCAACCAACATCAAGGTTACAATTTTTAATACAAATGTAAAGGCAGAGACGTGGAGAACTACGAAAGCCATTATCCAGAAGATACAAGTGTTTATTAACAGCTGTCTACGCAAGATACTTCGGATCCGATGGCCAGACACTATCAGCAACAAGTTACTGTGGGAGAGAACAAACCAGATTCCAGCGGAGGAAGAAATCAGGAAGAAGCGCTGGAAGTGGATTGGGCACACTTTGAGGAAATCACCCAATTGTGTCACAAGACAAGCCCTCACATGGAATCCTGAAGGTCGAAGGAGAAGAGGAAGACCAAAGAACACATTACGCCGAGAAATAGAGACAGACATGAGAAGAATGAACAAGAACTGGAAAGAACTAGAAAAGAAGGCCCAGGACAGAGTGGGTTGGAGAAAGCTGGTCGGCGGCCTATGCTCCATTGGGAGTAACAGGCGAAAGTAAGTAAGTATATATATACATGAAAACCCCTAAAGAATTGTTCTAAAACACTTACTTATTTTAGGTGTTATGGTCGGCAGAGCCTTATTGAAATTCCCACATCTTTTTACTCCAAATTATATCGAAGTTGAAAACTCACTTCGCTATTTATTTGAAGATTGGTTACTTTTGTCTACACAATATACAGGAGGCACGAGTTTTGTAACTGTTCATCAACAAGCATATTGGATGATGGAACCATTTCTGGACAAAACAAATAGACTAATTTTGCATAGTATTGGAAGTTTCCAAGGTTTGATCGACTGGTTTTTTAAATATTTGAAGACAGAAGACAGCTGATTTGTATATTTCTTTTGTACAGTAAAGCACTTTTCACCTTAGTTGTCACACCTATTTTCTTACAATTATTTCCAATAAAATAAATACAGCTGTTTTTAGCCGACTATTAATGTCAAGTGAATGATAGTCAATCTTATGAAGTGTTTAAACTTAATATAGGAATTCTAATCAGTGACCATGGAGGCATACTTTTTTCGCAACTAGTTAGCTGATGACCACACGCAACAAAAATTGTATGCATGAAACCACTTTAAATTATTAAACTATTTACATGCCATTTGTTACTTTTATTTAATTATCGCATACTTCACACTATCAATTGTTTTGTACAAAAATCAAAATATTGGCAACAGAGAGGTTCTATAACCAACACAGTCAGTATGGAGAAAAATAAAGTTGACCAGTCCACTTCCTTCTAGTTTAAACAATAATTTACTGAAGCTAACAAACTCTAGTCAAAATATTTATTCATAGCTTAGGATAACAACCATAAATCCTTATCATATTCCAAGTGACACGTCTTCCTTTATCTGCTTCTAATATCGGATGTCAAACGTACAAACACTCCTCCACCTACCTCAGTTGACCCATGTTAAATGAATCACTAGACCTTTCCCCTATTTGCTCAAAACACCAAAATTGACCTTAGTAATGTTCACTTGTTGATTACATAACACTGGTATGGGATGATTATCTACTCATCTTCCTTAAATGGTCATTTCCTAATGTTGTTAACTATAAAATAGCCCAACGCTGCAATGCATACCACTTGGCAACAGAACACTGGACATTCTGACGACCAACCATGCTGATAACTCGTTAGCTTCCTAGGTTTATAACGCTGTCTCAAGAGATTATAGTTAATACAACAAGATAGTTATATCAGAGTTACTGAACAAAAATCTGATGTAGATGCCAAACAAAAAACATCGAAGCACTACTTGTTTATAGTACCTAACCAGCCGCTGCTACCCGACCGTTGCTGCTACCTTGACGTGGTGGTCGGGCTTGCCTATCGTGATGATCCAATCGAGCTATGCTGACTGGAACAATCGTTCCTCAAGGTCCTACCATGCCAGACAGGTCGATTGAAGAGCGGTGAGACTAAAAGCAGCAATCCCAAGGTCCGAAGGCGAAGTCGTACTGCTGACTGTACAAAGGTGTGAAAGCAGTAAGGTGTTTCCTTCAGACAACCAGCATGACAGCGATGCTGCCTTCCCACAAGGAGGGGTGGGGTTAGAAAAGGTGCACACCTCGCCTTATCCCACGGATTTCCGTCTCCGGCGGTAAGGACTTTTGAAGAACGGAGCTAACACGTCAAAAATCCCCCACAAAAAGGCCGTGCGTGACCGGCCTCAAGCAGATGTCCCTTGGGCACTGCGGTCACTCTCCCAGGTCGTTAAGACCAACACTAATCCAACTTCTTTTTCAGGTCCCTCCAGAAATACCCTTCCACGGTGTGGGCAGCCGGGAAGTGATACTAGCCCTCATACCCTTAACTGCACACAAGACCAAGTTGGTCGCTTTCAAATCCTTCCTACACCTAATAACTCTGTTATCTCTACGACTAACCCTTCCCACGTCCTTTTATCACCTCCCACCGCTAAGGCAAACGATTCGAGTACACAGAAAGTGATATAAAGGTATGTATGAGAGAGAGAGAGGATGCTGGTTATAACTTTAGGGGTTTCTGGTTATAACAGTCCTTTTACTTCTTACACGTATGTGGGACGTTAATTTATCTTAGACGAATATCTACACTAGATTCCCACCCAGTGTCTATTCTACAGGACTTCAACAGAACTCAGATCAAGAACACCAGATTAGCCTGACTATGACGTCAATATATTTCCACACGAAAATCCGACACAAAGAACAGTCAATCAATAAGTATCCAACATCAAGGAACAGTCAAGATGTCCATACATAGTAAGGATAGGGAAATATATATATAACACATAACACCTGTCATCCCCTCTAATGTCTGACTCATCGAGACAACCAATCATTGACATTCTCGCCCACACATCACCTCCCTCGCGAAGTTTGATCGTATGATTTCATTTTAGGGTCTATTTGAAAAAATTTCGTTTGTTTCCGTTTCCTGAATGACCTTCGTCTAACTTCTGATTCTAGATCATTTTTTCTCGTTTCAACTTGTGGTGGTGGTGGTGGAATATCAAACGTATCACATAATACTTCCATTGGTAATGGTTTGAGTTTAGATGACTCATAAACACATTTTCTATCTCGCAGTTGATTTACATGTCTAATAATTAGTGTATTTTCGACCATCACTTCATATAATACTGTACCACGTCGTTTTTTTATAAACCCAAATATCCATTTTGGCTTGCCAGGCCGGAAATCCCGTGCATAGACTGAGTCACCTACTTTGAATTCTCGAATTTTCAGGCAATTCCCTTTCTTATTTTTTTGTAGTCCACTGATTCTGTCTTTCGGGTTCAAAACATCAAAAAATGTTCTAATCGGTCGGCCAAACATTATTTCGGCTGGAGATTTCCCATCTTGACAGTTTGGACTTGGCGTAATTCTATAGGAAATGAGAAATTGTTGCAGAGCCTCTTCTACGTTGCCTTCTCCTCCCATCTTTAAGAGAGCTCGTTTAAGAATATCAACAAATTTCTCTGCCTGCCCGTTCGACTTAGGGTGATACGGTGGAGTTCTAACATGCTCGATTCCATTCTGTTTACAGAACTCCGCAAACTCTAACGACGTGAACTGCGTCCCGTTATCTGAAACCAAAACATTAGGTGTACCAAACCTACCAAATAATTGTCTCAGATGTAGCAGTGTTTCAGACGTAGATGGTCTTCGTACCACATAAATTTCAGGCCACTTCGAGTACGAATCTACCACCACCAAAAAATATTGTCCACTTATAGGTCCAGCATAATCAACATGTAGTCGGATCCAAGGTTTTTTCGTTTCTGGCCATGACTGGGATTCTGCTTTCGGCACATTCAACGGTAAATCCCACAAACCAAATTTATCAATCCAATCAATACCTAATAGATTGGTATGACAGTTCCCGGATACGTAACATTTCCCGGTCATAGTCTTTTCACCAAACGTGAGAGGTAGCTGTATTACTCCAAGAAGAGTAATATTAGTTCCTGACGCACTCTTGGCATTATAACATGTAGGTTGATATCGGGGTCGGCCAATTTTAATCCAAGTTTCTCTAGAAATTAATGTTATGTCAGACCCAGTATCGACTTGTAGTTTGACCGGTTTGCCATCGAAAAAAATGGTTACATACTTCCTTTTAGAGGAGAACTGCTCACTTTTTGTAGCCAGAACAACATTTGAGTTATGTGGCATTACTTTTGAAGTATGTATCTTATTTCCTTTACGGGACTTATGCTGACGGTCAGAAACCTTTGGTTTACTTTTACAACATACTTGAGCATGACCATATTTACCACATTGAAAGCATACTCGTTTTTTAAAGTAACAAACTTTGGCAGAATGAGACTTACCACATCGCCAACATGACATTTTGTGTTTCACTTGATTTGGGATTTTCTGGGAGTTCGAATCTTTATTTTCATTTAAAGATTTACATAAAGCATTAATTCCCACGTGTTCACTGTTCCTTTCTACGAGATTCGTGTCATGCTTCAAATTAATCATTCTTTGACACTCTTCAGATACTGATTGTAGACTGATATTAGGATCTAGTTCGATTCTCGTTAGAATCCGTGTTCTAATATCTGCATCTACTGGAGATTGTAATCCACATACAAAAATAAGGCACTTGAACTGATCTGAGGACATTTCCTGTAATCGGAACCGCTCACATTCCCGGTTCACGATACTTGCATACGTTACGTAATCGTCCTGTACTTTCTTTACAAGTTGAAGACACTGGTATCTAGTGTGAAAAATTGATGACCGTTCACCAAATATACGAGTCAGGCATTCAACTGTTTCTTTGAACGTTATGTCGGATGGCTTCTTTGGGAGGATAAAATTACAGAATTTTTCATGTTCGGACACTCCGAGCTTTCGTAATAATAATCTCAATTTCGAACTTTCGTCCCACTCTTTACATTCATTAATAAATAAATCCTCATGGCGTTTAAACCATGCCTCAAAAGTAACTCCACTTTCTGGATCAAATCTAAATTCAGTTATTGAATTTGCAATAGAATCCGGAGTCATAGTGGAATTAGACACATCAGTTCTTGAGGATATCGACATATTTTTGACTAATAATTCGATAAGAGTATTTTGCTGTTGCAATAAGGTTTTCAGATCATCCATTTTCTTGATACAAAGTTCACTAACTGAATACGTAAGCGTAGATCCGTTTTAATCACCGTCGCCAATTGAATATAAAGGTATGTATGAGAGAGAGAGGATGCTGGTTATAACTTTAGGGGTTTCTGGTTATAACAGTCCTTTTACTTCTTACACGTATGTGGGACGTTAATTTATCTTAGACGAATATCTACACTAGATTCCCACCCAGTGTCTATTCTACAGGACTTCAACAGAACTCAGATCAAGAACACCAGATTAGCCTGACTATGACGTCAATATATTTCCACACGAAAATCCGACACAAAGAACAGTCAATCAATAAGTATCCAACATCAAGGAACAGTCAAGATGTCCATACATAGTAAGGATAGGGAAATATATATATAACACATAACACCTGTCATCCCCTCTAATGTCTGACTCATCGAGACAACCAATCATTGACATTCTCGCCCACACATCAGAAAGTTATTCCTGGTCTCCTGAAACCACGCTCTAAACTACATGTAGGAACTTTTAATGTCCGAACATTGTGCCAAATAGGACAACAGGCTTCCTTAGCTAGGACTCTAGAATCTTACACCATCGATGTGTGCTGCGTCTCCGAAACGCGCATACAAGATCCGAGTAGTGTCATTCATTTGACCGCACCTAATCAAAATAAAGTTTCATCTCGATACACGCTTCATATATCTGGAAGCTCTGATGCTGCTTCTCGTGGCCTCGCTGGAGTAGGTATAGCATTAAGTCCTAGGGCAGAACTAGCTCTTTTAGACTGGATCCCAGTAGGTAGTCGTCTATGCGCTGTCCGACTAAACGGATCAGTAGGGACTCGGAAAGATAGGGAAACTCGTCGTTGCCTCTTCGTCGTCTCTGCCTTCTCTCCCACTGACTGCAGCTCAGACGATATAAAAGATGAGATTTACAGGAAACTTTCTGACCTTCTCCGAGAAGCTAGGCGTTCTGATGTAGTAATAGTAGCAGGTGACTTTAATGCTCAAGTAGGTAAACTAAGTGAAAGGGAAAGACACCTGGGTGGATCTTATGGTGTCATGGCGAAAAGAACAGACAATGGCGACCGTCTGTTGCAGCTATGCTCAGATAACCGCCTATTTCTTGCAAATACTAACTTTAAGCATAAGGAAAAACATCTTTTGACATGGCGACCCCCGAATTCGTCCCAACGTTGGACCCAATTAGATCACATCGCTATCAGCCACCGATGGAGGGGCTCTATAGAAGACTGTCGCTCATTCTGGGGCACATGTTTAGATTCAGATCATGCTCTAGTGCGAGCACGTATCTGTCTGCGTCTTACTGGTCGTAGGAAAGACACTGCAGGGAAGCCCCTAAGGGTTCTACTTAATGATAGGCAAGCTAAGAATATATTTCAGGAACAACTAGAAAAACAGTTAGACAGACATGTAAGTTGTGCCCACTTCGAAGCAGCGTGGAATGACATCCGAAAAGCTGTGGAAACAGCAGTGATATCCGCTAGTAAGGTAAACCATAACGTTAGGGAGAAACAATGGATCTCGGCAGCATCTACCGCACTGATAGATGCTCGTAAACTCATCCCACCTGGCTCTGAGCATAACGAAGAGCGGAGTCAACTTAATCGCAGGCTTATAAGAAGCCTACGTAATGATCGTGAACAGTGGTGGGTAGCGAAAGCAAGAGATGGAAAAGGCAGCGGCAATAGTAAACAGCAGACAGCTATTCAGACTCGTTAAAGAAACCGGTATTAGGAACCCCAATATCAGTGAAACCATCTCAGATAAAGATGGGCATATTATTCATTCTCAATCCAGGAGATTGGATCGATGGGCAGAACACTTTAGGGATCAGTTCAACTGGCCTTCAGCCACACTTCAATTACCCACGATCCCCAGTCGTCCTGAATGGCAAATTGATGTAAGTCCTCCAACCCTCTGTGAGGTTGAAAAAGCTATAGGAAATCCGAAGGGAGGGAGAGCAGCAGGCACTGACAGGTTGACCCCTGAGATTTTTAAGGATGGTGGTCCAGTAATAGCAACGAGATTGACTGACGTCTTAGGTAGAATCTGGGAACTGGACGTAATTCCATCTGACTGGTCCCAATCACTGATTGTGCCAGTCTATAAGAAAGGACAAGAGTCTTCTGTTACAATAACAGAGGGATCAGTTTGACTAATATAGTGTCTAAAATATTAGCTTCAATAATACTAGGTCGCCTAACCAAAGCTCGTGAAGAGCAGACTAGAGAAAACCAGGCTGGTTTTCGACCTGGACGTGGTTGCATAGACCAGATATTTACACTACGTCAGGTCCTAGAACATAGACATACGTTCAGACGTCCCACAATCGTAGTATTTCTTGACCTTAAGGCGGCATTTGACTCCGTTGATCGTGAGGTTCTGTGGCAGTGTTTGTCGCTGAAAGGAGTACCGAAGAAATACATTAACCTCATAAAGGTTCTCTACTCGAACACAACTGGTCGAGTTAGAGCCTATGGCGAACTGTCATCAGAATTGGTTACCTCAAGTGGTGTTCGTCAGGGCTGTCCACTCTCCCCATTCTTGTTTAACTTTGTCATTGACATACTTTTAGAGATAGCACTTTCATCAGCTAAACCTCCAGGAGTTGAACTTTTACCGGGAGATTCACTTGTTGACTTAGAATACGCCGACGACATAGTTTTACTCGGTGAGGACGCTGACAACATGCAGAGTCTTCTGATTACTATAAGCAACTATGCAGGCATGTTCGGGATGCGATTCTCTCCCTCGAAGTGCAAAATGTTACTTCAGGATTGGGTTGCAGCGACACCTGAACTAATGATAGGGAGTGAAGTAGTTGAGCATGTAGACCACTTCACTTATCTTGGGAGTCTCATCAGCCCTTGTGGTCTGGTATGTGACGAAATCTCAGCACGGAAACAGAAGGCTCGTCTAGCTTTTGCCAACTTACGTCATTTATGGCGTAGGCGAGATATCCGTCTAGCAACCAAAGGACGTGTTTACTGTGCAGCAGTTCGCTCCGTCCTACTTTATGGCAGTGAAACATGACCGATAAGAGTAGAGGATATTCATAGGCTACTAGTCTTCGAAGCATTGCTCGTATATCCTGGGACCACCGGGTAAGTAATGCAGTTGTTAGGAAACGGGTACTAGGTAAGGATGGCAAATCGATTGATGAAGTAGTGAAACTTCATCAGTTGAGATGGCTGGGACATGTGTTACGTATGCCTAACCACCGACTGCCCCGACGTGCAATGTTTCATGGTGTAGGAGTAGGTTGGAAGAAAGCTAGGGGTGGCCAGACCAAAACGTAGCACAAATCCATGAAGTCACTGACAAGTGGACTGGGCCATGTTGGTAGGTGTAGACTACCTGGTTGGGATTCGCGAGATGACAGCAACCGATGGTTAGAGACCTTGAATGACATGGCTCAAAATCGTTTGAAATGGCGAAGGTGCATCCACTCTTTGTGTTCTACCAAATTCTAATCCTCTGAAATTCACACGTCCCTATCCTTTTTCTCTTTCCAAATTAATTTCACTGTACTATACTCCTTCAATAATTTCTTCAAACCCTAATCTTTTGGATTTCTGATTATACTCCTACTACTTCTACCACTATGGGATTTGAATCGACAACTGCATCTCTGTGCTAATGGTAACTCGAACTGATGTACGTACGTACGAAGTTCTACGTTGTGACTGACTGCTGCTACCTAATGTACAAATCTGATAATACTGACTACTACCTATTTCCTACAGAATGCACCCTGATAACTGTTAATGGGTTTATACAACTATTCGAATGACATCCGTCGCAAACGACAATACTAGGAATTGCAAATAAATGTTTTATTTGATCTGCAGTGCGACCTTTGAAAGTCAAACAATTATTCCTAAACAAACCTTTGCCTCTGTAAAACTAAAGCTTCTATGGATTTTTATCTAGTTGAGTTCACAAGTAGAGACCAAAATATCCGCCCGCTCTATAATGAAACGGACCCTAAAACCCTGCAGCACCAATTACATATTTTACGTATACTTAGATATGGTTGGATGTTCCCACCAAGGTAAAAAAAAAACACAGGACATAACCAACTTGCAAGTTCCAGCGTAGTCAATGGTTTCTACCGCCAGAACTTTGGGATTAAAAAATCTTAACAGACTAATTGGTCACTTAATTACCAACCCATGCTCTCAGAATTCTATATATGATTCCTAACCTTTTATGGGACACCTTTTTAAATGATTGGTCACTATGATTATACTTAGTTTCTAGATCTTTCTAAAACTGTGATTGGACTTCAAGCGTAAATTAGTTCGTGTCTTTAGAAGTATAAAAGTTGTCACGAATTTTCCGACTTAAATCTCCGAGTCAGCAACAGCATATTACTCCAATCGAAAGTTTTGCACAGCTATCGTGCTTCACCTGGAAACTATCAAAATGGCTATTTAGCGAGTCATAGGACGGTTGAGTGTTAACCATAACGTGTCTTAAATTCTTCAAACTTGATAGCCCGCACCGACTACCATTCGAACGTTCTTTCCACGAGGCAGTGGAATAACGGTAGCAGATGCAGTCCAGTGGTAGCTGGTGACCAACAATAGGTTTATACGCCATTTGTTCCTTCAGGATCCTGGAGCCCATGTGCACTATTGGTTTGGAGTCAAGGTTTACCAACTCCCAAGGTGGATCCTCTGTGTTCACCAGAAATTCGCCCTCTCAATTTCGTGAACATCCCAGCTGCGAGAGGGCAGTGAGTAGGACTTCCCATGCAGCGGGCACGTAAGAGCATTTCGAGAGAAAGGGCGGACTGTCCCCACCCTCGGTCGTACCAAAGCATCATCACTAAAAATATCCTCCTTAGGATGAATTTTCCGGTCCCTCTGCCTACTTTAAGTTGGACAACTCAATATTGCTGCTATCCCATAAACTGGAAGTGTGACTAAACTAGTATAAGAATAGGCTGAAAGAGACCATGATAATGGGATTTGACAATGAAGGTATCAACTAAGTACCTTTCAAGAGGAGCAAGCTTCTTGTTTCTGTGAGATAATCACAACTTTTAGCAGAATAACTTAGGAAACAAGGCTCCAAATCAATCGCTATTACTCAGATATATTTTTTTGCTCTGCTTTTTCTAGATTTTGGGTCTTAACATATTGTGTACACATATAACTCCTTAATGTCATCCCAACTTCCCTGCTTTCGATCCTGTTCACTTTTCAACTTACTATGATGTATTGCGGCAACTTGGGTAGATCCACATTTATTCAAGATTCTAAGTTGAATATGACGGACTGACCTAATAGAAGTCGATACGTCTGTCTGCTAAACAATTTTTTTCAAAACAAAAATCTATAGGCATATTACATGCATTAGTAGGACTACATAATTTTAGTCTTCCAAATCGACAAGGCTTCCATCTTTGTTGACAGTTTTCAATATTCCAGAATTCAATAAAACATTCCATTCCAACTGAGGGTCGTAAGAACTAAAAATGAATTGTTAGGAAGAAGAAAAATACTGGTAGAATTTCCGGATAGTTGAAATCTCTTTCTTAGTATACATATGCACGACGACTCCCGTCACCACAGTTGACACAACAGTTGCGATTCCCATAGCTCTAAGAGCTCTACCAACTCTGAAATTCCGCAATTTGGCCGGATCCATTGTGCTAAAATGAAGAAGTGTAGGCAACCTATATTCCCTTGAGAATCTGAAGGATGAAACAATTGTCAAACATAACTCGTTTTACATATTTTTAAAGCATGAGTCAATTGAAGCTAGACCACCATGGAAAACCTGGAAACACTGGACGGCCGTTTCGTCCTATTATGGGACTCCTCAGCAGTGCGCATCCACGAACCCGCTCGCGCGAGATTCGAACCCAGGACCTACCAGCTTCGAGCCGAAGCCCTTAACCGATAGACCACTGAGCTGGCATCCAACGGTGTTAATGTCTAACTTCAACTGATCCACTCGTTTTATTCAATGCATTTCTGAATGGAGCTTAACAATTTTCGGCATGATTACCAAGAGGATGGTAAAGATTACCAAGCATCCACAAGAAGACTTTGTTTTATGAAGACATTGGTGTTTTGCGTGACTATTCTCTACTTTCATGCATTAGAAATAAATTGTTTTGTTACAATAATAATATACAGGGGAAAGAAATGTGAGTGAATATGTATATACTACAAGTGGGTTTTCGCCATTTGAAATGCGAAAAATCCAAATCCTGCTAAGACAGTCGCTGCTAATGTCCATTTCCACGTATGATCCGTTTGGGCTAATTCAAATCCGCGGTAATGCGGATAATTTGCCATTATACACAACAATATGTATATAGAACGAAAATCTGGTTCACCTTGATTTCTTAAATTACGATTAGTATTATTATACAAATCAGAACGTGAATGATGTCTACTACGTGATCCATTCGTAACCAAATATAAATTATCACTAATATTATTCAATGAATTTTCTAACGACGCTGAGTCATGTGAATTAAGCAGTGGCTGGTTCAAATTATTTGTTAATGTATTACTAGTGAGTGAAGATCTAGAAATAGGATCGGCTGAACTTGCACGTCTTCTTGTCGACAGTGTAGTAGTATTAGTATCATCAAGTCCATTACCATTACTAGTAGTAGTAGTAGCGGTAGCAGCATTAGATAAATCACTGAATGAATTATTTAATGGTAAGTAATGTTTACAAGAGTTCGAATTTTGACTGTTATATATGGTGAACTATTGAGGGCATTGACCCATTTCTCAACGGGACTGGAAAAGATGGAAGCTTAATTGTCTGAAGGTGTTTTGAACTTAGCCTTTATAGGACATAAGGGGGCAACGAATGGTTCACCGATTTTGACCAAGTTTATAGATCCGCGACAAAATAAGTTTTAAGTGGTGGGATCAGAAACTGAATCCCATCAATACGGCTGTCTGAAATGAGTTGCATAAGTAAATTGGATTGAATAATGTATATGCCGGTTTAAAACGCCGAATTACGTCAACTTACAAGTAAAATAACCAGCGGGGAAAGTGAAACACCCAAAGATGAGACAGCAAAATGTCCCGTTCATTAGTCACTGTTTTCTTTTAGACGACAGAAGTCGCACAGAGTAGTCACATATCAATTACATTACCTAACCGTATAGCAAAGAACTACAAGTCATGAAGCAAAAGGATTTCGTTCAACGTTGAACTGGTGATGACGTCGAAAGTTAAACAACTGTCATGGCAGTTTCTATATATTTCGTACTTGGATTTTAGCGGTATTATGTTTGTTTGAAGACAACCACAGAAGCGCACGACAGTACATCTGGAGATAGAATTGTAACTGTTGATATCAGTTTGAGACATTGTAGCTATACCAGTCAATGATATCAGTAAGACTGCAATGGAAGCAGTCTAGAGTTATGGCATAAGTAGAAAAGAAATCTGGCAAGAATAAAACGAGGGTGAAGACAACCATTCCAACCCACTTTATTGTTGCAAAACGCTCCCGCCTAAACAACGAGGCTAACTCAAGGTCTTATACAATATCTCAATAACAAACAACAAAAGTTTCAGAACAAGAAGTTGGACAAAAAGTGGGATTTCTTCACCTCTGTGAATTAACGGTCTAATTGTTAGACTTATTTGATCAAAAATGTAATTGATATCACAGCAGAAGCTTATGAAATCGGGAAACAAAGAAATATTTTCCAAGTGCATAGAATAGCGATTTAAAAATACACCGACCTGAATAACTTTCGAACGTAATAAAACTTCTGTCAGTGAGTGTCAAATAATCGGTAGTTTCACTTTTGGCTGGTGAAGATATTGTTAGAGTTCTACGTTAGTTTACCGGAATTTATATCAGATTCTTTATTATACAGCGTTTGTTAACCTATTTTAACTTCCGGACAGGTAGACCAGCCAAATTTCTCCGGCTATTCTTTCGTTCATACAGGCGATATTTTTTCACATTCACTTGTGACTTTATTTGTACTTGATTTATGTGTGCGTTTCTTACGTACACTCTCAGTTACACAGTGTTCGCCCTATATAAAAGGTGAGTCACTCTGTACAAACTGAATTTGACAAAATACTAATGTCTATGTTCTAATGTTATTCAATATTCGTCTGTTTTTAACGTGCACGTATGAAATATACTCATACTCAGTCTTACTTGTACTCAACTTTTCATTTTTACATTGTGTTAACTTGATTAGTCGATAGAATGTACAGGAAATTAAATATAGGATATGTGTATTTCTTTGGCGTTATCCAAATTCTTTTGTCACTTAATTGAATTCAACCTCATGGAGACTGAAAGTCACCCAGTTGACCATGATTTTGTTGAGCCTGCGAAGGGAGCTATTCAAAACTTTGAAGCAGGGAGTTATGTACCTTAATGGAGTGACTCAAAGTGAGGAGCATCTGATAAAAAAACCTTTTCAGTCCTGTGAACCGTTATATTCTAGCAGATCTTTTATTGTGTGACGTTTATTGTCCAGATGGTCTATTCTATAAGTAGATCTGAAATGAATCACATACATTATTACTCCGTATGTCTTCGTAACACTATTAGTCTAGAATACCTCTGTTACGACGATTACCAACTGTGTCAGATCATAAGTAGGCAGTAATCTATTTCAGACATTGACACAATGGATTGAACATGTGGACTGTGATAATTACACGAAGTGTGTATCCGTTTATTGTGAGACTGATGTAAACTAAGATTTCCTCATACAAACAAGGTAAACAATCACACCATGATATTATACAAGAGTAAAAGTTCATAATTATTCGTACTGTCAAGTAAAAAGTTACAAGTTAATCGACAAATTTAATGGTACATGAATTCTTTAGACCCAGTGAAGTGTCACTGGACCCAGGCCAAATTATTCGGCAATCAGCTCGCTAAATATCGGACAATTTACCAATCATCGTCACAGTTCTGGATAGCTGTCCCGCAACAATTAAATACACGTTATGGAATTGCTCTATCACTAACGCTCTTCTGCAATATCGTAGTATTTGTTGTATACGGTCATCAAAGCAGCTGCAGTACCAGAATACGACGAATGGATAACCCAGGTTACGTATTAAACATGGGGGTGAATTTGACGTAATCTATGGGGTCACGCCATTTCGGTCCAATTCAAATGGGTTCCTGATTATTAACACAAATCACATACGGGTTAAAAGTCCATGTAGCTCACCGGACACCTGTCGTTTGTCATATGGGTAAAAATCGTTCATTTAAGTAGTTTTCTGAAGCAACAAACTAGTTATCTTTAGGTTAATTCTGTTTTTCATTTGGCGTGTTAGACCGTTTTGACAGGTTGATATAGGTAATTGTTGTATTATCTAAGTCCAATGTATAATTATGTAAATTTATGACAATGAAGATACCACAGGTATTGTAGTTTGACAACACTTTACCAGTAACACCTTCAATAATCGAATCGCTCCCACCCAGTGAAATCAATGGTCAGAAGCAAGGAGGTCAGAAGATATATTTGATGGGTTATCAATATATCAAGAACTAACTGATCTAATCTGGCTAATGATCGCAGGAGTTGTTTCGCACACCGTTCCAAACCGTGATCTGGTGCAGATGCATGACCAAACGCCTTCAGCTAAATAAGTCCAACAAAACTAATGGGGTCAGCATCTAATGTCAAACACTTATTTACAGCTACATATCACTCCTCCCCTAGTTAGGTAGTGATGACCCTATGAAGTGGCCAGCCAGAAGTTAAAGCCCAACGAGTTTGTCGTTGGTAAATACTCTTCTGACTGATTGCTGTGTTTAGTAACGTATGGTTGTTTTTCCTTACTATAACGGCCCATGAAATACAGTATAGTAATAGGAAAACAAAGTACAATCGAAATATCGATTCTTGATAAACTTCATCGTTCTCTTCCAGCCGTCCTGAAATAGAAAAAATATAATGTGTAAGTGCATGTCGCAATACAGTCTTATTTGAGTAAAGACACAAAGCGAGCGGGTAAAGGTAAGTAAACTAATATGCTTGCGACAGCGTGAAAGCGATTCAAATTTTTTTTTACAGATTCAACTATACGCTTGTTAATAAAAAAGTTTTTTGGAATAAATATATAAGTATAAGAATATAAAATTTTACTATTTTATATGATTCAAAGAAAAATCGAGATAAAGCTGGTGTCTTGCGTGTAATAGTCGTTTAAATGTTCCAGAAATCTAGCTCTCTTTCCAGAACGCGTTGTTTTAAGTTTATTTTCAAATACTACCGAACTATCAGCATGCGTTTTGGCCGTCGGATGAGGTATTACATGTGTGGGAGCCAAGTCGTTCGATCGTACCGAAGGAAAATCGACATGGGTAGGATTTTCTTCCAGATAAGTTGCTTTGAGCAGATCGATACTGATGCTGTCGTTGGTGCCGTATTTATCGACTATATAGTACTTAAGTTCACGTTGAAGAACTTTGAACGGTCCTTCGTATGCTGATTCGAGGGGTCGTGGATGTGAGTTCTGACGTACGAAGACATGCGTACTATATCGTAAGTCACGTTGAACGAAAACATTAGTTGATTGAGATCGAGCGGCAACAGGTTTGACTGAACGCATTACGTTTGCAAGCCTGCTCTTGTAGGAGTTCAGATCAATGTTCATTGAAGAAGATGAAGGATCCACGAATTCTCCTGGAAGTCAGTGTCGTCCCATAAACTAGCTGTGCTGCAGTCTATCCAATGTCAGCTTTCACTGCATTGCGAATACCTAATTGGACGAGTAGGAGAGCATTGGTCCACTGTGAAATGTTTGCAGCTGAAAGCGAAGCTTTTATTTGTTGGTGAGAGCGTTCTACCAACCCATTTGTTTGTGGGCGGTAGGCGGTCGTTCGAAAGCGAGTGATCCATAATAGTGTTGTCAGACAACGGAAAAGTCCAGATTCAAGCTGGCGTCAGAGGTTTGTAGTGATGGTTGGAGAGCAGCCGAAATTTGCTACCCATCGCTAGCCACTGTCTCAGAAGTAATGTACTTGATAGGCACTGCTTCTGGCCATCGAGTGAAACGGTCTACGCAGGTTAAAAGATAAGTGTATCCATTTGAATCTGGTAAAGGTCCTACCAAATCCAGACGAACATGATCGAAACTAGCATCAAGAGTTTTGAATGAGCCTAAGGGACATTTGTTGTGTCTATTTGCCTTGGATTTTTGGTTGATTACGAAGGAGCGTACCTATTCCCTCACATCTTTATTCATACTAGCCCAGGAAAACCTCTCTGCTATTAGCTTGATGGATGCACGAACACCTGGATGAGAAAGTTTGTGCAACGTAGTGAAGACGTTGCGTCGATAATGTTTAGGCACGATAGGGCGATCCCTACCTGTCGATGTGTCACATTGTCAGGTTTCCTTACCTGTTCCCATCTGTATAATGCGCAGTTTTAGAGTTGTTGAGGATAACTTGTGCTGAAAATCAGTGTATCCTTTTTTAAGCTGGGCAAGTTTCAAAAGGTCGACTCTTCGGAAACTGTTCAAAGAAGTTATACGAGACAAGGCGTCTGCAACTACATTGTTTGCTCCAGAAATGTGTTGTATACCTGAAGTAAACTGCGAAGTGTAGTCCAGTTGTCGAGACACTCGAGGTGAGTACTTGTCTGAGAATGAGCTTAAAGAGAAGGTAAGAGGTTCATGATCGGTAAAAAGGGTGAATTCTTTGCCTTCGATAAGTTGTTGGAAATTATTATTATTAGCTTTATTCAATATTATATTATTTGGTACAAAATCGAATTCTCAGCATAAAGTATTTCAACATGTTTACGTTTCCTATTTCTTCGTTGCTCCTGATGATAAACATTCGGTGATCGCCAGTTGGATGTCAGAAGTTCAGTCAATCGACATATCAATAATATATATTCTTTTTGCTGCATGTTCAAAGCAAACACGACATCTCTGATTAGGCCTTTTGTAACCTTTACAGCGAAAGGTTGTACAGTTTTCAGAAACGCACCGAAATAGGTTGTGTACTTAATAGCCATAATGATGTATTAAAACAAACAATATTAGATAACTTGTTGAAATATATAGATGACGGGAAACAGGTAGTCCAGATGTTTAAGCAGGCCGCTTTGTTCTGCAGTACAGCACAATACATAGCTAGGAGATCCCTACCGAAAGTGCTGTACCTTGACTAAGTGTCTAGCAACCGTCTCGAGTAAAATGCCAAAGGTTGCCAAGAGTGTTTAAGCGATTGCTGTAAGACCCCTTTGATTGCTGAGTCGGATGCATCTACTGCGATACTAATGGGCGCTTGAGTGTCCTGATGTGCCTTTTGCTTTTCCAATAAGTTCGTTAATTGTAGGGAATGCTCTTCGCGCAATGTCTTCCAGATAATTGGATTTCGCATTTAGACAAAGTTAACCAGTTAGCGGTTTCATAAGGGATGAGCATTTCGGTATGAACCGTCTATATAAACATACAAGACCGTTAAATGTGCACAATCGCTCTATCGTGGTCGGTTCTCGGTAATCCAGAATGCCGTCACTTTGCTCCTTGGAGGATGCCTTGAGCATCAATAGTGTGTCCTAGGAAGTCTAAAGAGTCGGTTCCGTTTTGACATTTGTGAATGTTTACTGTGATACCATGCTTTTGCAGTCGTTCGAACACAGTGTCTAGATGGTGGGGTTAGGATTCTCTGTCCGTACTTGTTATCAGACAGTCATCAACGTACGCAAGTACGAAGTTGAGACCTCAGAAAACGTCGTCGATGAATCTTTGGAAGGTTTAGGCAGCATTTCTCTGGCCAAAAGGCATTTGCAGGGTTTTCTGCGATTTCTGGAAGACTTTTCATACTGGTTATGATACCAGCATCAGTTGAGTTTATCCGTCTCTCGTCGTCTGGAAACAGATCGCGTACGTTAACTGCTTCTTCGCGGGGTTTTCGACCGTTAACGGTCATTACAAAATCTGAGGTAGCGTGTTAGCGAATGACGTAGATCCGAAATGTCACTTCGTCTCTCTTAAGGTTTTTCTTGGACTGAGAATTCTTCGTGATTTCAAATGTGCTGTGTGCAGATGCAGCCAACTCGTCTACGACTTTGTTTTGAAAGGAGACGAGAACTGCTTGCACCTGTTGCGTAAGTTTAGATAAGAAACGTTGTTTGAATGGGCCTTCATCGAACGTTTTTTGGACACTAACTTCTCTCATCCTTAGCAACATGTCTGTCGCAGAACCGTATTGCAAATGTTATTTTCTATTTTATGGTAAGATGTGGTCAGTTTGTTTGGTCTATAAATCCAGTATGTTTGAGAGTAATGGTTCATATTGCAGAGGCTGTAATTGGTGTTCTAGACTTAACTGGCTGGACTAGGGAGAAAGAAGGACTGATAAGTGCTTACGACTGCTCGCACAGGTTTTCGTGTGTCACTGCTCTGATCGATAATTCACGCCTCTCTAATTTGCATGAATCAGCAAGTTATATATTTACAGGCAATCGATATAACACATGGAAAGACTCTTTATGTATTTTACTTAGAGTTCGATACACGTAGATAAAACAACAGTGGTGAGTACTCAAGGACAGCGTGTTACAGCTCCTTGAATTCAGCACAGCTTTTAGACTCAGATTGATATGCACAAAATCTTCAACGACTTTATATTAACCACACTTATCGAGATGGTGGAGAAAATTTGTAGCTCAGGTGGGTGATTTTTATGTTGGTTTGTTCTCTGAGCTGGATGGTTTGGTCGTGGAGCTTTCATCGTCCTTCTGAACGACATCATCAGCACAAACTTTGGGTAGAAGTGAAGTGTTTGAATTTCTCCACATGTGATTCACAGCTTGTCCTCTGCACCTCGATGTTGATTGGTTCTTATTGACCTTAAATCTGTCATTGTTTATTTCTTTGTTTTGGTTGTCTCTCCTATTGTTTTGATTTTTGTTCCCATGTTCCTGCATAATTTTCTTGTTTGGTTGATAGATTGGATTGATTTCAATATGTTTGTTTATTGCTGATTGACCTGAGTGCCAAGCTTCTAAAAATTCTCTGGTATTTTTGGAATTGCCTCTGTCCAAAATCTGCACATTTTCCCAGTCGAATGTAAGTCCGTAGTTGTCCACGTGCATTGATATGAGTGAAGAAATGTCGTGGCGTTTGACTGCTAATTGGTGTTCATGTAGGCGAAGATGCAGGGGGCATCCGCTTTGTCCAATATAGTGTTTGTTGCAGTTGGTACAATTTATCTTGTAGATGATGTTTGTTTTGTCCTC